TTTGAAAAATTAACGCTTTTCACACATTAAAAGTGACAATCAGGCAAATATAAAGTATTAGTAAGTCACAAATGTAAATATAAGTAATAAAGTATCATATTTTGAGTTTTATTGAGATGTAAAACGGGTTGGCACATGATCAAATCTTCCATAAAGCCAGGCTTTATTGGATTTAATCACGTGACCAACCCGTTTTTTTCAAAAAATGATTCCTTATTTCTTAATTAATTTAATTATAATTTTCTTTTAACTTTAAAAAGTGTTAATTATTTCACTGTTTTATGTTGCAGTGGGTAAGTATAAAAAGTGTAAAACCAATCATTGATTAATGAAGATTAGGAAGTCTAAGATGCATTAGTGTTTTCGTCCACATTTCGCCTTCGCGCAGCTTCCTCCATGGTTAAATTTTCGAATGTGGAGAACCTAGTATTACTATAGTAAATCAAAGTTTTCAAAGTTTCAAAGTTATCACTATAGTTAACTAAAGTAAACTATAGTTAACTATAGTATTTTTGTGTTAGGGATAAGCAGAAGATTGTTTCGTAAACAAGAAATAATAATTTCCATAGAAAATGCAAAGATAAAAAGTTAAATGATGTAAAAAAGTAGAAATCAATTATTATTATCGTATATTATACATTATACGTTGTCTGCAAATTCATACATTTATTAAACATAAAAGAATAGAATATATCTTTGCTCAATTAATCTTTTATTACTTATTAGATATTTTTACATGTATCTGTCATATGCAATTTCTAATGCAATTTAAAAAAAATATAAAAGGACGATAATCCACATATTTATATCACACATTTAATAAAAGCCTTCTTTAAAGTTTTTAATTTAACTTCTTATAAGTTCTTTTATTTATAAATTTAAAAGAAGAAACGTCATTTATCATTGATTTTAAAATTGAGTTTTATAAAGAAGTGATTTGTATGTATTAAAAACGTTCTAGAAAACGTTGCAATTTTATAAAGAATGTTCCGGATAATTAAACGAATTGATGATAGACAAAATGAAATCAGATAATATACAAAATATGAATGACTAGTTTAAGGTTTCATTTTTTTTCTTCAGTCTTCATTTGTCAGTTTATTCTTAAATCACTAGAGCGACTTTTGTGATGGCGTCTCAAATCTAACTTATTTTCCACAATAAATTGACATTTTAATAAAACAGGAATCTACGATTTTTGTTACACATGTCTCTGTAGATCAGGGTTATTTATTGCGTTCGCCATTTAAATGTATTGGTGTTCACATGCACTTGAATTAGAATAAACTTTGGTGCATTACAAGTACTCTGTCTTTCTAAAGGTTTACTGAAGCAGTTGTGAGCATTTTTATTGTTATCCGGGCTATGTCTACTGAAGTGAAATTTCATTATTTAGCACTTTTAATATCACCAATGCATAATATAAAGTAATTTTATATTATACATCGTATTATTATCCAAACGTTAAATTGATGGAAAAACTCAGTTTTGAAAATATTTTTTTATCTTCTGAAAAAGATAATGAACAGCAAATGGTTTTTACAAATTATTTACTTAAGTTACTAAGATATCAACAGCAGTGAAGGAGAAACTTGAAGTGTACTGGTTAATGACTATATAAGTAAATTTATGAGTTTGACTTTTATTAAAAAAAGAGCAGTTGTCAATGATATCAATGAGCCTGGATTTTCTTAAAAAGTTGAGGAATACATCAATTTCCAGTGGAATTTTCTTTCAGAAAACATACTCTGCCACCGTCGCCCGGAAAGATTTTGAGATATGTGATTTTTCATAGCAGTTTGCACATTATATCCAAAAATTAAAGTGGGAGACGGTGGCAGACTCTATGTTCTAAAGGAAAATTAGCGGAAAACGAGTTATTTTGAAGCTTTTCTCCATTAAACTTAAAAATATACCAAATAAATGACGTCATATTTCAAGAATGGCCCTTCTTCATGCCATATTCTTTAATAATTTATCATATTCATCTACTCATCTATTGTTAAAGCCAATTTTATAACTTTTTAAGAACATAAAATTTTAGGGCACAATAAAGCTCAAACTGTACCTTTTTCTTTATCGTGGGGAATTATTGTGTATAATTTTGAAAAGTCGTAAGTTTTTAGGCCGCTGATTTTGGTTATATCTTGTGATTTCAAATTGTCCATAAGTTCTTTGGAATTTTTATGTATCTACATCTGATTCACACCACTCCTTGAATGTATTGTTGCACACGAACACACGGCGGGTGTGACCGATCGATAGGGGATGCTCACTCCTCCATGGCACCTGATCCCACCTCTGATGTTTCGGAGGTCCGTGTTTGCTCTGCTCTTATTTTGTATATTGTTTAATGAAGTTTGAGATTGAATACTGTTCGTTATCTCCATATCCTTCTTACACAGTACTCTTTCCTTCACTAAGGTCAATATCTTAGTGAGAAGCAGTTTTCTTTGTACAGATATGGTTTTGCATTACTATTATTACAAACTGAAATTAATTACCCCGTGCTAATGTTAAACTTTTCACATTTTCATTAAGGCATATTTTCTAATTATTGACGCCACGTGGTGACCTCGTAGGGTAGTGCTTCCTGTAGTATAATTCACATTGAAGTCTACAGAATGATTATGCATAATGATAACAAAAGTTTTATCCACGACTTATCCATTTTTTAGTGTTAAATATTAATGTAATATTGCCGAATTCTGATCTGTGTGCTTCCTTAATAAATCTGCTTAGGCTCATCAATGTAAAATATACCAAACTTTTACACAATAACAATGTAAAACTAGTGCTAATTGTAACGGGGACCGTTACAGATGTTCCCCAAACGCTCCCCATCTCCCTTTTATTGCCATATTCCTTATAAGCTTCATTAAATAAGACAATCTTTATGCATTTGAGACTTTAACAACGTTTACCCAGATGGATACCAAGTTCATTCAAATTTTAGCATTGCACGCGTGCGCATGTTAATGCATGTGCGTAATGACCATATCATCTTGTTTACACAATCTATATACTTAAATTTACTAAATATTAAAGTATTTATTCCAAAAGTATTAAAAAATACGCTCATTCAAGTGTTTTTTTTTGATTTTACTAATTTCACGTGCACGCCCGTGCATACATGAGCATGGTGACATACCTTCTTGTAGAAGTCCATTACATCTATCTATGTTCTAAATCCCACTCCGTTTGGTTGAAAACCAAGGGAGTTACAGCTTATTAAAGTTTCAGCCAATCAGATTGCAGCGTACGTACACGCACGTGTATTGATGTGCTTGGTGATCATACCTTCTTGTAGAAGTCCATAATATTTATCTATGTTCCAAATCCCATCTTGTTTGGTTGAAAACTAAGGGAGTTATAGCTATTTAAAGTTTCAGCCAATCAGATTGCAGCGCACGTACACGCACGTGTATGGATGTGCATGGTGACCATACCTTCTTGTAGAAGTTTATTATATCTATCTATGTTCCAAATCCCATCCTGTTTGGTTGAAAACCTAGGGAGTTATAGCTATTTAAAGTTTCAGCCAATCAGATTGCAGCACACGTGCATGCACGTGTTTTCATGAAAATTGTTATATTTCATGGTGTAGGATATCCTAATGCATGGCTATGTTCAAAATTTCAAATAATTTCATCAAAAAACAAGAAAGATTTTGAGACTTTAGTTTCAACCAATCAGAGCAAAGCACACGTGCATGCGCGTGAGATCTTGCTATTTTGACCATGTCATATTATCTATGCTACTACTATATCCTTATATTGTGAGTTTCAAAGCATTTCATCAAAAAGGTAAAAATATACGCCTACATCAATTAAATCGGTCATTTCACGTGTTGCTCGTGCACGCTCTTGCAAGCACGTGCACACAAAATGGCATGTTGACAATGTCATCTTATTTACATTTATAATATGTCTATATATTATAAATATCAAAGCATTACATCGAAAAATGTAAAAGTTACGGCAATTTCAAGTATATTGGTGATTTCACGTGTTGCACGTGCGCGCTCTTGCAAGCACGTGCGCGCAAAATGACCTTCGTTCCGCAAATCTACATAACATGCCTACTTACCCTAAAAAGGTTTCCCCTTAATCGGATGTGTACTTTACAAGATCATTCGCGGACAAAATTTTCCCGAGAAGAAAAATAATAATAATAATAATAAGAAACAGAGTAAAAACAATATGTTCCCCAACTTCGTTTGGGGAACATAATTAATCATATACAATATATCGATAATAATTATATAATGGCACTAAAAGGTTTTACGGTGGTATTAATAGCCTATCTAAAATTCGTAATAATTTTCTATTAAATGATCAAATGCAATAAAATAGGCCATTTTTACCAAAATGACGTCATGTTGACAAGCTCAATGCGATCAGGGATTTCTTTATATAGTCTGCTGTTTGGGGTGTAGCTATGCATTGATAAGTTTTGTTGATGTTTATCATCCTTATACAGTCTAAATTGGCAAATTATTTAATTTCTGACTTTTATCAGGTGATGTCACAGTTAATATTTCCCGTATAAAAAGAAGACCCCGCCCTCTTTACGCAGCCTTAATAATTCTGCGTATCTTCACCCTATTTTAGAAGTCAAAAATCTTTATATAAATAAAAATGATGTCGGAATCCCTTTGAATCTAGCACAACGTCACGTTTATTCGTTAAAATATTTCATCAAAGTATACATAGACCAAAATTAAATCTATAACAAAATGTTAATAGAAAGGTGAATTTGTATGCTGTAAGTTCTTTTACACCTTTCGATTCCTATAGATTTATAGCACGGCATTTCTCTCAACACATAAATCATACAGGAAATCAAAGTGTTAAAATCCAAATCATAATGAATGGGTGAATGCCAATCTGTTATAAAGTTGACTAAATGAAAATATGTGTATTCTGAAATATGTTTTTTGTCAGTAATTTGAAATAGTTATGAGACTTATTTTTTGTTACTAAACGTTTGTAATCTTTTCATGGCGAAGATACGTACCTAGAACATCATTTCATCAAACATATTGAATGCAGTCACATCATGTCTTTGTCCAAGAGCTATACTTCTACACCAGAAACAACAAACACTGCTCGACTGGCGAGGCTTTTACTGGGTCCATGTACCGATGTGTTACGTGACATTCTAAAGTCTGAAGTAAAACCATCAGATTTGTCCAGAAAAGTTAAAGAATTCATAGATAACCTTCCAAATAGACAAAGAAATCCCCTCAACAAAACACAGTCCGAGATTATTTTCCCCAAACTACCAAAACAATACAGTGGTGATTATTCAGACTTAGACATATCTTTATTGTATTTACTTCTTCGCAATGTAAGTAAAATAGCACCACATTCTAAAGGTTGGGGAGAAATTCCGAATCCCGGAGACAGAAGTGTGGCAGCCAACATTGAAAGAATTCGCCTCATTAGAAACCAGTATTACGGACATTCAGCTGATCTGTCCCTATCTGAGTCAGAATTTAGACAAGAATGGTGGAACATCTGCGACATTGTAGTGGAACTAGAGGGACACCTTGGAGCCGCAACGGTTTATCAGGATGCAGTCAACATGATAAAAACCTGCTCCATGGACCCAGAGCAAGAGAAGAAATACATAGATTTACTTGGAGATATCAGAGAACTTCATACAACTGTGGATGATCTTAAAAGTAAGTAATTAAAAATCTTTGCGTCTTTTATCGCTTAATGATTCTTGCATTATTTTACTCAGAATATTTGGACGGATTCTTTTGAAAGATTTAAGATATAAATGATAATAATGCTCAATTAACAAATATAGAGATTGATTATTATCAGATGTTCAATAATCAAAATTATATAAATATAAAACAATTGATTTATTTAATTTATTACTTATTTTTTTCTTCAGGTAATATGCGGATTATGCAAAGAAATTTGGTGCTCCATGGTAATTATCTCATATTACTTGCATGTAACGATGATTTTATGAATGGAATGATCAAAACAGGAGATCCAGTTTGCCACAGATTTAATTTTTAATAAAACAAATAGTAATACTGATATTAAACGGCACATAAGTAATGCGTGGTAAATAAGATGTCATGAAATAGCAAAATGGAACTACATTGCTCAGGTTTTTAAAAAGGCGTTAATCATTCCCTTTGCACAATACATGTTATAATTAACCAAACTTATTGTCATCGGCTAATTATGAATTATTTGATGAATTAAAGAATTATCATCTTTTATTCTGAAATTTATTTTTTTGTAGATCCAAGACTTGCAAGACAGATAGGTACGATAATATAAAAATAACAAAAATATTAAATGAATGGTTGCAATTGCTTATCTCGTTTTAAAATATTACAGATATCTATTGGTACCAAGAGGCAATAGAAATCAGTATGTTAGTGATGCATGTCTGCTTTATTTATGGGAAAATTCTAGGTCTTAAAGGTCTAGATCAGATTCAGTACGGCCTTATAGCCTTAAGGTAGGATTCTTCTCTGGTTTCTGACTAGATGAAACATTCAAAGTATATTTGCTTATATGTCTTATATATTGAGGTGTAAGGAATTTAAAAGACCATATTTTTCTTTCCTCATCACAATTGTACCACTTTAAATAGAAATGATAAACTGCATTTGAAAACTAGCAGGGACTATATTTTGGCGGAATGGTGGCGTATGAAAATATCTTCTTTTCTGCCTCTCAAAATTATAATAGAACAATGAATTTAGTTTAAATTTTTACACAATCGAAGTCTTGGAGAAACTTTCAAATGTAAGTTAGATTAATAATGAGGGACTAAACTTTCAAAATATATCAAATAAATATGATTTTTCAAACAAACTAGAACTTTATTAGCTTTTGAACGCTTCCTATCAAAGTGCAGATTTGAGCCAAAAATCCATAAAAAGTATTTTTTCTCTCTTAGTAAACGATCAAAACCTTTTGTTTTTGTATCATTTTGTACATTTATAAGACTACTTTATTATATGTTTTTATGCAAAAAGAACTATCATTAAACTTTAGAAATAGAAGTAGGTACCGTATGATTGGCAACATTTATTTTTTATTCTTAATGTCAAGGAAAAAGATAATGACCTTGAACTGACCTTGCCTCTAATATAAAACGGTCAAATTTTATTTCACTGATACTATCACTATCACTTACTGGTATTGTCTTCTTGATTCTGTGAAAATTTCATTAATTTTTAAATATTAGAAATATGAGAAGAATCCTACCTTAACAGCTTAAAGGAATAAATTAATATCCGTTTTCCCCTTTATTCATATACTTATTGAAAACTATCGAGTATTTATTTCTGTCAGTATTTGTGACATTAAGAAAATTTATTCACCAGTGATTATTTGTGTCAATTCTGATAAATTTATTCTTAGATGCTTGTAACACAATTAAATTGATATGTAAAGTATAAATGGAACTATATTCTGAAAATCGTATTAGTAAGATATATTTCCTTAATCATCAATCAAAGCTTTTTTTTCATATACGAAGGGGACAAAACAAAATTTGCTGATATAATTTTCTTATCATATACAATATTGTATCTCTAGTCCAATACAATACACAATATCGTAAATGTAGTCCAAATTGATTAATTTCTCTTTCAAGCTCAGACACACTGGAGTTCCAGCTACAATACCATTTTGCACTTTCTATTGGGCATAACACTGTTAATTAATCGGTAAACAAATTTTGAAATCTTAGAAACAGTAAGACTATGTTCTTTAAAGATAACTATTTTTTTTTTTTCAGAAACAACTAAGAAAATGATACAAAAACATTATGAAGCTGTTAGTCATCTATTCGTGAAAACTCGTTCGTATGTAAGAGCGAAGGAACTGTTGGACAATAACGGTTATGTCGTCATCAAGGGAAACCCCGGGACTGGAAAAACCACGATCGCCAAGATGTTGATGAAAGAATTGATGGATGAGGGGAATTCTCCTCTTCAGCTTTACAAGTTCACAGACTTGTATGAAAGCATATCACCGGATGATAATATAGTGGTATTTATTGACAATTTATTTGGAGAGTTTACTTTATACAACGATGACGTTCACGAATGTAAAGCTAGAGCAGATATGACAAAGGTTTTAATTGAAAAAGATATTGATAATAAATCTAACAGATTGATATTTACACTTCGAAATGATATATATCAGGAATGTATACAAAACGAGTGCGATAACGATTTTTTGATGTCGTCCCTGGTTGACCTATCAAGCAAGGAAAATGCATTGCTCATGGACGAGATCCTGCAGCTATCAGAAAAGTATGAACTATCTGAATACATAAAAGACAAAAAGCTCATCTATAAAATATCTGAAATGCCACTTGCTATAGGGTTTCCACAATGTTGTAAATTGGCAAGAGGCAATGAAAATTTTAAACAAAACGTTATTGCATTTTTACCAAATGCAATGACGTTTATGAGAGACTACTTCAAAACCTTATTGAAAAAAAGAACTGCAAAAACCGCTGTTTTAGTGTATCTTCTTCTGAAAGGAGGAAAAGTAGAAGTCGAATTAATTCATAATCCCCGACTGGATTTAGAGCTGAAGCGCGACTCCTTAGAATTTGCAGGTCTGCAAAACTCGCATGTTAACGATTTCCAAGACAATATTTTGTGTTTTGAAGGTTTTTTAATAACTCATGACATGATAGAAAATATTTATAAGTTTGCCCATAGTTCAGTACAAGAATCTATTTTCAGTGTCTTGTTTATATCAAATCCTGAAAAAATGATCCAAATGTGTTTTCCGTCCTTACTTATGACATTGACCACATGTAAAAACCCCAAAAGTACACAAGTCTACATAGAACAAGGATTGTTTAAATATGTTGCCCGCCGCATTGCAAATATTATTGAAGAAGGCTATGTAATTGGATATTCTTCCATATCATCACTGGATTTATGGAATGATTCGAACTTCCATGAGCACGTATTACAATCTGAAGAATGCACTTCAAAGTTTAAAACATGTCATGATAAAAAGGGAGATTCAATGATAGTGCATTTTTCGAAGGTAGGGAATAAGCGGTGGGTTGAATATTTACTTCCACATTCAGACAAAAGAACAAAATACAGATCACTCAACGCCGCTTGCTCAAAAAATCAACCCGATATTGTTAATCTCATTTTGTCATCAGATGTGGAATGTGATCTTCAAACGTGTTTTAATGCTGTACAAAGTGGCAATATAGAGTTATTGCTCCGAGTTTGTGAACTTGTTGATCTTCACCAGATTTCATCTTCTTTACACCCAGTCTGGAAAAATATAAAGCATAGTTTACTCCAGGAAATCTGCTTTATGCAACAAACACAATTAATGGAACAAGTTCTATCAAAGTATCCATTCCTTGTAGATATAAAAAATGAGCAAGGTTCCAATGTATTACAGTCTGCAGCAAATTCTGGAGATAAAAATGCATTCAATCTTCTATTAAAGTTTGGCTGTGATCCATATGAAAAAGATCGAGACAATGGTCACACGGTTCTTACTTGTGCTTGTCAGGATGGTAGGCTTAACATGGTCAAATATCTTGTTGAGACATATCCCGCATTACTCCAGGAACACACAGATATTCGTGGAAAAAGTCTTTTGCATTGGGCAGCTTTCAGTGGGAATATAGATATGTTTGAATATATGCTAAACCTCTTTGAGAATGAAAATATATTACATATATCAAGTGACAATAAACCAAAGGAATATAAATCAGATAATACGGGTGAATCTATCCTGCATGCTGCATGCAAAAATGGACATTTTGATATGTGTAAATATCTGTTAAACAGATACCCACAATTACTGAATGTTAGTGACAATGATGGTAAAAATATTCTCCATTACACAGCCCTAGGTGGCAACATATATCTTTTTAAGTACTTAATTGAGAATTATCCCCATCTATTAGACGTCAAAGACAAATCTAGAAACACAGTGTTGCATGATGCAGCCTGGGGAGGCAATGTTCAAATAGTAAAACTATTGATTGAGAAAAAATTAGACATCAATGCCCTACAGGGAAAGGGTGAAACAATTTTACATCAGTGCTGTCGTTCTGGTAAAATGGAGATGTGTGAGTTTTTGGTTAATCATTATCCTGATTTATTGGAGATAAAGGACAGTAGAGGATTGACAGCGTTACATTCAGCTTGCTGTGAGAGAGGGATTGTGGAAATTGTGATTTTTCTGATTGAAAAAGGGATCGACATTAATAACTTGTCAAATAATGGCAAAGGTGTTCTGCATATAGCTTGTCTCAATGGGAAGTTTGGAGTTTGTGAGTACTTAGTTGAGAATTATCCTCATATGTTAGATGTGAGGGACAAATCTAGTAACACAGTGTTGCACGATGCAGCTTGGGGAGGCAATGTCCAAATAGTAAAACTATTGATTGAAAAAAAGATGGACATCAATGCCCTACAAGGAGATGGTGAAACAATTTTACATCTATGCTGTCGCTCGGGTAACATGGAGATGTGTGAGCATTTGGTCAATCGTTTTCCAGATTTATTAACGATATGGGACAATGACGAGTGGACAGCGTTACATTCAGCTTGTAATGGAGGAAGTGTTGAAATTGTTTCTTTCCTTATAGAAAAAGGGATGGATTTCAATGCCTTATCAAAAAATGGTAAAACTATCTTGCATATAGCCTGTCTCAATGGGAAGTTTGAAGTTTGTGTGTACTTAGTTGAGAAATATCCCCATCTATTAGACTTCAAAGATAAATCTAGTAACTCAGTATTGCATGATGCAGCCTGGGTAGGCAATGTTGAATTAGTAAAACTGTTGATTGAGAAAAAGATGGACATCAATGCCCTACAGGGAGATGGTGAAACAATTTTACATCTATGCTGTCGTTCTGGTGAAATGGAGATGTGTGAGCATTTGGTCAATCATTTTCCAGATTTATTGGTGATAAAGGACACTGAAGGGATGACAGTATTACATTCAGCTTGTAGGGGAGGAAGTGTTGAAATCGTGACTTTTCTGATAGAAAATGGATTGGACTTAAATGCCGTGTCAAGTGATGGAAAAAATATTCTGCATCTAGCTTGTCTCAGTGAGAAGTTTGAAGTTTGTGAGTTTTTAGTTGAGATCTGTCCCCATTTATTAGATCTAGGGGACAGTTGTGGTAAGACAGTGTTGCACGATGCAGCCTGGGGAGGCAATGTTAAAATAGTAAAACTATTAATTGAGAAATATATGGACATTTATACACTACTGGATGATTGTGAAACAATTTTACATCAATGCCGTCGTTCTGGTAAAATTGAGATGTGTGAATATTTGATGGATCATTTTTCAGATTTATTGTCGATAAGGGACAACTATGGATGGACAGAATCGCAAAAAATGAATATAAAACTTTTTTAATTTACCAGGGGGCAAACTTCAATTCTTTGTGAAATGGTGTTGAAATTATAAATTGTTTGTCTGAATGATATACATGAAGTTTGTTCGTATTATTAAAAACAACACTCATACTTTATAAACGTCAAGGATGATCAAGGTAAATCATTTTAAATACATTACATAAATTACGTCTTGGCATGAAGACAGCTATGATTCAATGGTACAAAAAAGTCTCAGAAAACTGAATTTGCATCTTTTGCTAATGTTTATGAAAGAAATACCGAGAGACATTCTTCAAGAACGCGTTTCCCCAAAATTAAACAGATAAAAATGGTTTAAGAATATTTCAGTCACATTGTATATGGGTCCTTTTCTCTCCTCATGCATTCTGTAAACAGAAAAAAAAACATAATGTGTATATTGTAGATATCAATAATTTATGAATCGAATGTTGAGAATCTTTCGTAGAGATCTTATTTGCTTAACATGGTAAACATGTAAGTTGATTTTCTACTCTCCCCATGCATGTATAAGAAAAAAATATTCATTTCTAAGAGACGAAGAAAGCGAAAAGTGATTAACTTTTTCAATGCAATATGCAAAACAAATCAGGATTAAGAACATGGACCCCTGAAAACACAAGCTTAATTAGATGCATAATTGATGATAGAAGCAAGATAATCCTGAATCGTGGTAATTTTTCATGTCACTTTTTCATGCTGTTTTTTTTAACGGTCTTTGTATATTATATTTATCTTTCCATAGTTCATGTACATTTTTACTGTAAAGATTTTTATAAATTACATTTATCGGTTTACTTCTTTACTAGCATTATATAAATTTTGCAGAGATACTTGCATTAATCACAATTTTTGAGTGAGTTTGATGATGCTTTAATTTTTTTCTTGTAAATAATATGGTTAAAATTTTTATACTAGAAATTCACAATTTGCAGTAACAAAAATATCGTGGAATCCGTTAACAACTAAAGTACTTGTTCTATATTCAGATTGAAAGTGGAATGTGTGTTGTCCCTTCATACAGTTTTTTTTATTATGGTTTTATATGAAATATACACTTGAACGACTATTTTTTATTTCATTCTTTTCATTGTTTTGATTTCCATGTTTTTTCATGTTTTATTTTCTTTATATAATTAAAGGATTTTCTTATTGGAACAATTGTAACATAATACTCTCAACAAATGATTTGATATTTTATATAAAAACTGTACTTGACTATATATCATAAACTTTAACTGAAATGAAATATTATTATGAAAAGGCTACGATTTCTTTTTGCTACAAATTAAAAAAACATGTATGGTGATGTTCCTTGTCATTCATAGATTTAGATATTGTTTTACAGACAGACAAAAGAAACATAATATCAGAATTTTAAAGTAAAGATTTAGACAGTGGGTTTATTTTGGTAAACTTAATATTAGTTCAACCTAAACTCTGCTTACTAAATAATTTTACAGATTTTCCTCCCCTTTCCGGATCTGGGTCTTTTATTGATTTTACAGAAACACCTTACTCATTTAAAAAAAATGTCGCTTAGATTTTGAAAATTGAAAAGCTAAATTTATATGGTTTGTAATGAAATAATTTTGTTAGTTGACCTTTATCGACTGCCAAAATGTTGTTTTTTTTTCATCTAAATTTTAAACATTTGGTGAGATGCAATAAAATCATATTTTTGAAGTAGTTTACCAAGAGCCCTCTCCCATGGCAGGAGTTATTTTTTTCCAGATGTCAGTGTATATAGTAAATAAAGTAACAATCTCGATCATAGATATTGAATTTTCCAACCATTAGTTATATTTTTCAAAATTCATAAAATAATGGAGATATTTAACGTTACCAGAATTAATATAATATGAATTTTACATACAAAATACACTGATATAAAAACTTGTTAAGAAGTTTCGCAAGATGTTTTTTTTGTTCTCTAACAAAGTTAAGCACATTACTGTCTCCATATGAATATTGTTGTTTCTAGTCGAAACATTGAGTAAAAATTTCTTTTAGATTACTTATGGTATACTTATAGGTTTCTTATAGGCAATTGTGCGTCAGAAGACTGCGTATTGACGTACGAGTACATTTATATATGTCAGAAGATTACTTATAACCGATTGTATATCAGTAGATTACTTATAGGCGATAGTAAATCAGAGGATTACTTATAGGCGACTGTAAATCAGTGTATTACTTATAGGTGATAGTAAATCAGTTAAATCAGTGGATTACTTATAGATGATAGTGAATCAGAGGATTACTTATCGGTGATTGTATGTCAGAATATTACTTATAGGCGATTGTTTGTCAGTAGATTACATTTTGGTGATTGTTTGTCAGAAGATTACTTATAATTGATTTTAAGTTGGAAGATTACTTAGAGGTGACTGTATGTCAGAAGATTACCTATACGCGATTGTATGTCAACAGATGACGTATTGGCGATTGTATGTCAGAAGATTACATATAAGCGGTTGTATGTCAGTAGATTTCATATAGGCAATTGAATGTCAGAAGATTACTTATAGGTGATTGTTTGTCAGAAGATTAACTATGGTTGATTGTATGTCAGAAGATTATCATAGGCGACTATTTGTCAGATTTCCAGCTTAACTACTGAAACATGTTATACCCTGCATCAGAAGAGAGAGAGAGAGCATACAACCTTTTTTTTAAAGACATCTTTCAGCAAAACATTGCATTCAGTAATTCTCCCATTTTTGATCCTCCTACATTTGTAGTTATCTTGAACAATATCACAGCCAACGCATATGATAACATTTAACGATAATACCGCCTCCGATGTGTTTACCTTTAAACATAAGCATCTTAACGCTTACATACTTAATTACTTTAAACATAAGTACAGTCTACACATATAGTAACCTTTAACATAAGCACCGCCTACAAACGTGATTACCTTTAACATAAACACCACCTACACACATGATTACCTTTAACATTAACACCGTCTACACACGTGATTACCTTTAACACAAACACCGTCTACACACGTGATTACCTTTAACATTAACACCACCTACACACGTGATTACCTTTAACATAAACACCGCCTCCACACGTGATTACCTCTAACATAGACACCACCTACACACGTGATTACCTTTAACATAAACACCGTCTACACACATGATTACCTTTAACATAAACACCGTCTACACACATGATTACCTTTCACATAAACACCACCTACACACATGATTACCTTTAACATTAACACCGCCTACAGTGAGGATCGTCATACTTGATACAAGATGGATGTAAAACAAAATAAAACAAACAAAGAGGACAATACACTACAATATAAACCGAGGACAATACGCTGCAATGTAAAAAGAAATCAAAGATAATTATGCATTCAGTGTAATAAGTTAATTAATGATCATTTATGATTTAGATATAGGGTCCTCTTGTTTTTATCAAAGAACTATATGCGGTATATTGCATATACTTGCCCCCACAAAAGTCAAATTTTGAAAACTTCCTGAAATGTGCTGAATTCAATATATTGTATGAGAAATATAAATCAACAGAATATATTATAGTTTCAAGGCAGTTTATTCACAATTTTTGCTTTTATGACGTCACAAACTAGTCCGATTTTATATCCTTTTTCAGAAAGAGGACAAAATGGACAAAATTTCCCACAATTTTAGCTTTAAAATTTATAGAGTGCAAGTTTGTTCAGGAACAATATTTACATATTTCATTTATACTATCATTCTACACATTATATCAAAATATTGATCCCGTACACACATGCGCTTGGTGACTTTTACTCAAATTATCGTCGAAATATGTACATTTTTCTGTAGAATTCATTAAAAAAAATGAAATTTACGTCATGTTTGTGACGTCATTACGTACATATGACGTCATTAATTATGAAAAGATTCAATGCTTTGAAGTCAGCATATACTCCCCTATTTAAGAACTTAATTATATATACCTCCATCAAAGTTTGATTTGGGGGGGGGGGGGGCAAATATTGGTTATAACCGAATAAAGTTCTTTGATTAGGCCAGTCAAAACCTCCTAGATCTTACCACTTCCGCTGCCGCTCATTCCAACCACGCGCCCGTTGCTGTAAACAGTTGATCCGCCACTGATTCCATAAGGTGTCCTTCCACCTCCTCCCCTGGATCCACCACCTCTGACAGAACTGAACCCTGGTCCGCCACTGATATAACCTGATCCACCCGTCAGTACCTTCATGATAACACTACCGGGGCTACCACTAGAAGAGCCTGAAAATGAATAAATAACACTACATCATTATATGAATAGATTTGAGACAGCCCGTGTATGAAAAAATCGTCTATGATAAGATCGACAAAAGCAATATCATTAAATCAGTTTCGCTAGAAAAAAGGACTTGTATCATATTTTAAGACCCCTAAAAACGGACATGAACTCTCTTTACCAAATAATTCAAGGGGATTTAAAAGCCAGCAAAGTTGAAAACATGCCATCTGTACCATCTGTTGTCTTGAAGAAAAATGTTACATATGATGTAATGATACTCATTATAAAGAAAATGCAAATATTTGATGGTTTTGATATGAATAATAAAAAGACGAAATAGTATTCTGTAAATTAAGTGAAAAAAAAGTGAAAACATCATACATTTGGATAAAGTCAATCACTGCTACTGGAAGGCTGTCTCTTGGGAACCTAAAGAATCAGAAGTTGTCAGTTTAAAACATGGAGTACACGAGAACAAGCTTTGGCTGAGAAAAGATATAATACCAAATTTTACCGTAAGTCACTGTGCTACTTTTTTAAAACTACTGACAAAATTAAAATTATGACCAACTTATTAATTTGGAATTTTTTTTACCTTATTTCTAATTTCATGAAAGTGAAAGTTAGGAGTAATTGTATGTTGTGTATAGCAATTTTTCACATTAAAGCAATTAAAAAACACTAGGCATCCACAAAAGCAGGTATAACCAAATGGCGGCTTATTTATTTTAAGGTAAAGAAAGAGGAGCATGCTGTAGTCAAACCTCACAAAATCTAAAACATACATAGTATGTTTATTCAATAAAAATATTTGTATAAAATATACCCAAATATACACAAAAATAATAATTTATGATAAATAATTCAATAAAAACAATATAAAGTTATCAGTTCACAGACATCCACATGCATACTATCATTTATTAACGTGTTTATTTCACTGCTTTAAAAACTACATTAATTATATTGTCAATATTGATTTTTATTATTTGCAGAATATGTTGAACTGTTGAAACTGAATCTGGTAGTGCGCCGGGTATACTTGCTTTTTTATTCAATTTTTCAAAATTTCAGATGTGCGAGTATGTCTTGGGTATAAGCAACCAGGTTCTACCTCTTTATTTGCAAACAACTAATTATGTCTAGGCGCACTAAATGCCCTTATTCTGAATGTGGGTGCTTAAAAACGGTGAAGAGATTTGATGTAAAACGTTAACAAATCTTGTTTACAACGCATGAGGGTAGCACATGCACCTTGAGGTTACCTCCAGCAAGCTTAAGTCTGACCAGACAAGGGACCTCTGTATGCAATGTAACAAAATCCTATTCTATATTTCATTATTAATTTTACTCGTATTTCTCATTTGGTATAAACACTTCCAATTGGTATAATTTTTTTTTTCAAACTGTAAATTTGAATGTATCATGAATTATAGTCTTGAGTTTAATAAAGTAGTCATTGAATTCTTTTTTTGCAAACTGAAGTATGGAGCATATGCAATGTACTGATTTTTTATTGTCATGAAACTGAAATAGTTATTTGATTCTTATTCGTTAACTGACTCATTATGTTTCAGGGGACTCTTGAGGACTGAGTCATGCAACCTACTTTTGTTAAATAGTTGAAAAATTTCTGCACAGCATGTTCAAATACATATGTACATTCATTACTGGTCCTCGTATCCTCAAACAAGCCAGGCTTTATTGCACCAAAAGCAAATATATGCTAAGATAAAAAGAGATGAGAGCAAGTTGAAAAGGGAAATTATTCGTGTTTTTTTTTTTTTTTTTAATTTTTATGGATTTTCTAATTAAAGCACGGCCATTTAGAAAAAAGGATTCTAATGAGCAAATTTCTGGGGATAGGTTTCATTTGATAATTTAAAAACTATTTTAAATGTATATCCTAGTGTTGAAATGTCGTAGATAATGATATCGAAAATAGGTTTCATTTGATAATTTAAAAACTATTTTAAATGTATATCCTAGTGTTGAAATGTCGTAGATAATGATATCGAAAATTTACCAGTCGTGTTCAACTTTAACCATTGCATGTCCTCTTCATATAAATAGGTATATACTGTAGACCGTGATGAGTTATCGTCCTTTCGTTAGTATTGAGAGACATTGTTCACAATTCATACAATGTATCCATTCATGTCAAATATTTTATAATGTTAAACTCGTATCAGGAAGTCTGTCATCAGTCTAAATGTGATTATTCTTTTTTGAAGAAAAATATACGAATCCGTATTGAACCAAAGCAATGGGAACGTTTAAAAAACTGTTACTGCTGTTAATTGTATTTTAAATTTTAGTGAATGGTGAGTTCAGGTGAACATTTGAAAAGTAGAAGTTTGTATTATCTGTCATTTATAAATGTACATTTATACTAGTTAGAAGTGAATACTCACAGAGACAGATATAAATATTTGAAAAAATAGATTTAGAAGAATATAAGAACATAAAGATAATATTATATTAGGAGAGGCGAGAAAAAAAATTTCTGTGTTATTATAATCCAACAGAAAACAAATAAAATACGACTGGATATTATTTTCTTATTTGAGTCACCTTCATAAACAACTACTTTTTAAAAAAAATCATAATTTCCTTTGGTATCAGGATCTCCTCACACCCTTCAGCTAAAAACAGGAAACGAGGCTTCAGCTTTCAAACTGTAGCTTGAAGTTTGTTGAAGTGTTTGAATATCAAGGAAGGATTGTTGATGTTATACATACAAGACATTGCTTGTCAACTGTTCAAACCACTTAAATTAGAAATAAATGGCTGTTCACATATATATACTTTTTTACAACAAGGTGTTAAAAAAAGATGAGTAGAGATAAATATCAATAGATAGGCTTCGGTGTTCAATATACAGACAGTTTCCAATATAAATGATATTTTGATTTGATCCACGCACTATTAGGTTTATATAAGGAAGTTTTCGAAGATTCATAAATTTGATCACTACATATATAAATAAGTTTAGATTCTGGGCATCCGTAGGAGTGGTAAGTAGAATCATTCTGCAATATATACATCATAGAAAAAAACGGTGTTTGCCTTTCCTTTCACAAATTTTCTTTGTTTTGATGCATATTACTTTTTAAAAATTTAAACCAACAATTTCATTAAACATTATGCACACATCCTAATTATTTATAGGATCCTGATACTTATACACACAATAGTATATGTGTTTACAGAGGGTCTTAATATTCGGAAGTATTTTGTATAGGAACATTTTTGATGTACTGATATGATCAATCATATCTGCATTATGTAAAAAAAATGTCATTTAAAATTTTTATGATTTTCATGAATATTATCCGTTATTTCACGATCATGTTGAGGAGAACACGGGGGATTTGACCGGTCAGCAAGGGATGCTCACTCCACCATGGCACCTGATCCCACCTATGATGTTTCGGAGCTACAGCTCCCTTTCTGCTCTGCTCCTATTTTGTATTGTTTTATGGACTTTGATATCGAATACTGTTCGTTATCTCCATATCCTTCCGACTATTATTTTTTTTTCTAGTAAATATCAAAATATGAAACCGATATGTCAGAATTTGTGGTTTCTTTTCTTTCAATGTCACTGGAATTCATCGATTCGACATATGAATGGAAGATTTTTGTTGTTAAGGTTGCATTGAAACTTTTTTCAATTCACCAATTTCAGAGAAAAATGTGCTCATTATTTTGTTTTTGCTGAGACTGTATTCTTAATTTGTTCTGTTTGTCCACATCAATTGTTTTTATGCTAAAATTTCCATTTAAAAGAAATATAACGTCGCCGTTTAATATGAAACTTTCCCCAGTTTTTTACATTAAATACATTGGATGCTTTAAAGTTTAAGTCATATTTGATATTATGCTAACCTTATTTTAAACGGTATGTTCCTTAGTCTGAGTTGCATCTTCAAGTTCATGTAGCATTGCATAAGAAATGACAAAAACGTATGCTGTGTAAAACACCATCTGTAAAATTTAGGGACAATTAAAGGTCAAGTATAATATTTTTGTGAAAATTCATAATATTCATTATTGTCAGCCTCTAGAACCATATGAATGACATTCTGAGGTATATTTTTTTTAGCTAATTTTCATCAATAATCATCTTTTAATGTTACTTATGTGACAATTATTGTAAATATAAACTTATTTAATGACTACGAGGTAAACAGTCAAAATGTTACCTCGGTGACAATTATTGTAAATATATTGAATAAGTGTTTTATTACCTAACCTACTACTGTATAGGGGGAAAAAAAACTCGCGGTGTTAATATTCGCTATATTCACGGTGATAATAAATCCGTGAATTCAAGAAACAGTGAATAATTTTTCAGTAATCTCCATGTTTTATTTTGAAATTTGAGAATACCGGTAGACTACGATATGTTTAAATGCATGTACCACTGACAGTAAATGGTCATTTTACTAATTACGAGTAGTACTTGTCATTCAATTATTTTAATTATCGCGCTTTACTTTAATTCAAATTGACAGATAATAACCTGTATTTGTTAAAAGGCTTTATAATAGCCAACGCTACATGTTTCATCAATCAAAACACGTGGGCCTTGAGTTTTGATTACCCGTGCGTAATTAATATTACCACGCACGGTGTATTTGTTACCTGCATTATCATGCATATTATAGTTTTTATCGACATTTTGATTTTTAAAAATTGTCAAATAACTATCGGACTTATTGACGATGTGGAAGGATATTCTTTCGTCGGCCTTCATTAACACATTTATTACCGTCCAGTGGTTTTTCGCCGCGTTGTTTTGAAGATCTTGAGGTGCACATGCACTAGCATACAGACAATTCATTTGACGTTTATAGTCAAGGACTTTTGATAATAGCATCTGAATTAATTAATTTTCAATTATTTATTAAGTCTAACTATTCCATTTTAACTTACCCTGTTGTTGGTGAAATAAAGACATACCATAAAAAATGTCGTTTACTACATGTAGCTTTGGTATGGATTAAACGGATATAGACACGGGAGGTAACTTCTATGACATAAGAATTCCGCGAATTCAAGAAACCGCGATCATGTCCGATGAGAGAAAACCGTGAAAATTACAACCTGTGAAATTAATCCCCTATACAGTATATAATTAATTAAATTGGAATAAAAACACACAAACAATCAATAAAATTTTTTCACAACTGTTTATTCACATACTTGTCTTTTAATTAGCTGAACACATAATATAAAGATTAAATTAATATTTTTAATTTAAAGTAATACTTAATAAATTGATTGTTTGTGTGTTTTAATTAAATTTGATTAATTATAGAGCAGGTAAATACACAGCTAATTGTGCCACGTACGTTAAACGTATGTGACACGTACGTGACTTCACGTACGTTTTCCATGAAAAAAGCACCACGTACGTTATATGTACGTTTTCACACATGTGAATAGCATGCGTGTCACGTATGTTAAACATACGTTTTGCCTACCATACGTTACACATTTTGCACACGTACGTTACTCAAACGTTTCACATATGAATAACATACGTGCAACATGTGTGTAACATATGTTTCTCATAACATGTTTAATGGGTTTATTATTTTCACTGCTCATATTGTAAATGTATAAATACCATACAAAAATGTGTCAAACCTTGGTTAAACACATGTTTTGAACATTTTTTTTCACATATTGTAAACGGTGAAACAAAAATTACGTGCAATTTAAATATTCAATTCATGCATTTGACATAATTTCTCTCAAAGGCTTATTTTCTTTTCATCTGTTGAATGATCCACTTTCTGGTTATCCCTCACATTAAATTTCCTGAACCTAATTGCTCTTGAAGCAATCACAACAAAAGACATATATAGATTTAAGCCAAATTTAATGTTGAGTATGTTAACATCAATTCATTCTTCTCCAGTTCTCTTTTATCTGTAAAGAAAAAGAATATGTTAAATGCATGGAATAAGGGAAAACCCATTTTTCCCCCTGAACATTATTATTATCCACACATTAATCCTGGTTAATTCCCTGTAGAACTTAACTAGAACTGTCCAAACGGAACAAAATACCCCCCGCTGGGTTTTTCAGAAGTAAGTTTTTCCATAATAAAGATATGTATCAAACACGAATTATGAAATTTTTCTACCAGTGACCTTGAACTTCTCCAAATAACCTTGGGTCAAGGTCATGACACACCCTTAGGTCATGGGCAATCTTTGTGTGAAATGAGAACCTACCAAGTTTATCCATAAGAAAGATATGGACCTGACACAAATTATGAAATTTTTCTTCCAGTGACCTTAAACTTCCCCTAAATGACCTTGGGCAAGGTCAAGACACACCCTTGGGTCATGGGCAATCTTTGTGTGAAATGAGAACCTACCAAGTTTATCCATAAGAAAGATATGGACCGGACACGAATTATGAAATTTTTCTTCCAGTGACATTGAACTTCCCCAAATGACCTTGGGTCAAGGTCATGACACACCATTGGGTCATGGGCAATCTTTGTGTGAAATGAGAACCTACAAAGTTATCCATAAGAAAGATATGGACCGGACACGATTTATGAAATTTTTCTTCCAGTGACCTTGAACTTCCCAAAATGACCTTGGGTCAAAGTCATGACACACCATTGGGTCATGGACAATCTTTGTGTGAAATAAAAAGCTTCTAAGATTATCCATAAGAAAGATATGGACTGGAGATGAATTATGAAATTTTTCTTCCAATGATCTTGAACTTCCCCAAATGACCTAAGGTCAAGATCATGACACACCCTTGGGTCATGGGCAATCTTTGTGTGAAATGAAAACCTACCAAGATTATCCATAAAAGATATGTATCAAACATGAATTATGAAATTTTTCTTCCAGTGACCTTGAACTTCCCCAAATGACCTTGAGTCAAGGTCATGACACACCCTTAGGTCATGAGCAATCTTAGTGTGGAGTAGTAGATACTAATGTCCCTCTGTAAGAAAGATATGGACCGGACAGACAGACAGACAGACGGATAGACAAAAAAAACGGACAAGGTGATTCCTATATACCCCCCAAACTTCGTTTGCGGGGGGTATAAATATAAATACTAAATAACTATTATTATTTTTTTAGTATTCATAACCATGATCTTTTTATTTTTTTTTTCTCTATATCCTCAAATATCTACCTTGTAATTCTCTTATCTAAAATTCATTAAATGGCATTTATTTGTGGGTGACTTGGAAAAAAAAATGTGTTTGTTATAACATACTGATACCCCATATGCCAGCTTAAGGTTTAAGTTTCCAGATTGCAAGTCAAACTCCAAAGTCAAGGTCAAAGGTCAAAATTGTTGACATCAAAGGAAGGACTTGTCACAAAGAATAAATCTGTGAAATATGAAAGCCGTACTACTATCAGCTCAAAAGTTATGATCAAAGTTAAAGTTTTTTAAAAGTGGGTTAAACTAGACGTTGAGGTCAAATGTTTTAATTTATACCCATTGAAAGGTCTTGTAACAGTAAATATACAAGTGAAGTATGAAAGCCCTTGCACCAGCTGTTCAAAAGGTAAGGCCAAGATTCAAGTTATGAAACTTTCTTAAAATTGAGTCATACTCCAAGTTCAATTCAAAAGGTTAATTTTGTGTACCAGTACAAAAGTATTGTCACAATGAATACCCAGGTCTGTGAAATATGAAGGCCATACTTTCACCCAATAAAATGATATGGCCACTGTGAAAAGATTTTGCAGACAGACAGACAGGCAAAAGCTATATAGATGTACCCCAGAATCTTTGATTATAGGGGTATAAAACTTGTTCCTCATTGTCATGAACTTAGTCATTTTGCTTTCAATTTAGGAGCAATATATAAATTTTCAATGAATCAATGCATTTTCAGTTTATGATTAATTAATAAAGCTGTGCCTTTACATCTGATCCACCTATCCTTTATGAATTTCATAATTTTAGTAGGATTCAATGCTTATTAAAATCTTGCTAACAGTTTGCTTGATGT